CGGGCTGCGCGTGCGGTTCGGCGTCGGGCGCTCCGCTACTTCCGCGGGACCTCGGCTGCCGGCGCGCGCACGTGCCCGCCGACCCCACACGCCCAGCCGCCCGCACTCAGCCGTCGCTAACTCCCCAGCCCCAGCTGCCGGTTCACACCGCGGGGCCTCCGCGCGCAGCCCCGCCCTCCCTGCACCTATCTGCCAACGCCACCCCTGGAGCCAATCGTGGGGCTCCGGGGGCGGGGCCTGCCGCGCGGACCTTAAAAGCCACGCGCTCCAGCTCCGCCCTGGCGCGTGGGCAGCTGTCAAGACGCTGGGCTCGGCCTCGCCGCCGGCTCGGTGCTGAGAGTCGGCACGCAGGGGAGCCTCGCAGCTGTCTGCGCGGGGATTGTGGGATGCGGGGCCTCGGAGAGACCCGAGCTGATTACGGACCCTTACCAGGAGTCTGGCTTTAACGGCTGGGATCTCTAGCTTTAAATGGCTGATTGCTGTCCTGGAAACCAACTCCCAAATTCTATGGCATCTTTGGCTAAGGCGCCAAGAAGGCAGCAGCGCTGGCTCTTGCACCCGACCTCAGGGCCTGACTCCCAGGAAGGAAATGGGGTTTGTCCAAATGCTCTCGCCTGGACTGATACACAGCTACAAATAGCCCAGAGGAGGGAGATGACTCGTATAATATCCGTCCTGGGGTGTCTGGTGGTGGGATTTCTTGACCCCCCAGATCCCCCCAGCACTGCCTGCAGCCAAGACTGCCCACGTAAAAACCAGCGCGGTGCTCAGTTTTCTGCACGCTTCTACTGTCCGGGGCAGTGACCCCGGAATTGGGTGGGAGCGGTGAGCCTCCTGGCAGTTTGGTCTTCCCCAGGGTGCTCCCTGAGAGAGGCAGGGAGGGCTACCTCGTCACGCGGATTCAGAACCTAGCACCCACTTTTCCAGAGCTTCTCCCCCGCTCCAGTCTTACTAGCAGGGAGGTCCTAGCTTCCGGCCTGCGGGGCCCTGCGTTCTCAGGCACCCACCTAAGTTGATGGGTCTGTTCACCTCCCTTTGCATATCCCTGTGAGACCTACCTAGTGGGGCGTTGTGCAAAGAACAGATTCTCAATAAACATTTATTAAACTTAACTTAAAAACACCTTTGGTATTATTTTACTGAAATTTTGGTTTGGGTGGCTCCAAAATCCATATAACTTTCGCCTCTGGTTTTGCAGTTTCTCTCAAAGAATGTTATAGGATATATAGTTTATGTATATTACATACTTTATGTATATTACATGTATATCATGCACAATACTACAGGAGATACTCAATGTTGAATGCTTTCAAAATACAAAATTTTGTGTAATGACACTGTAGACTACTAATTTCTGAGGTCATAAAAAATGTTTTAATCTCTATTTTATTATTATTTTTAAATATATTTTATTGGTATTTTACAGATAGAGAGTTAGAAACATCGATGAGAGAGAAACATCGATCAGCTGCCTCCTGCACACTCCCTCCTGGGGACGTGCCCGCAACCAAGGTAAATGCCCTTGACTGGAATCGAACCCGGGACCCTTCGGTCTGCAGGCTGGAGCTCTATCCACTGAGCCACAACGGTTAGGGCTAATCTCTCTTTTAAATCATCAGGGCAAAGACTGAGCCCTTTCAGCTACTAAATATAATCACAATAATATAAAACTCTGTGCAAGAAAAAAATATTTGCCTTAACTATTTTACCATAATAAGTAAATTTAATTTTACATTAAAATCATAAGAAAATAAGTTAGACAGGCTTTACATTTTATATTTTACCAGTAAAAACAGGAGGGTTTTCTAGGTCAGCGCATGTGTTCCCAAACATTTCTTGTCTGCTCAACAGAGACATAGAGACTCATCAGAAGGATTACCCTCCCAGGAGCTCCAATTTAACTTGTCTCCTCTTGCTACCCCAAAAGTTTGCATTCAGAAGTGGCCATCCGGTAGCAGATGCACTGGCTATGCAGGCAAGTCTCAGCAAAATATTTGCACTGGCAGTGACAAATGCTGCCTAAACTGAACTTGTTGTTTAAACACACATTAAAACTGCACAGGGAGAAGCGTGGAAAGCCATCAGTTATCAAGAAAACTCCTAGACACCCGCTGGTTTGTCCTGAGGGAGGGAGCGAACACATACCTGAAACACCCAGAAGACAAAACCAAACGATCATGTCAAACAGAGAAAAGTGAGGTGTAATTATTCTCAAAATTAGCTTTCTAGACTCGAGTACATATTCATGATACTAGTACTATGACTGAAATCTTGGTAAAACAACATCTTAGATGATTAGGTAAAATTTTATTTTTCAAATTTACTTTTAGAGGGATTCAGTTGACATTGGTACTTGCTAAACAAGATTTTGCTTTAAAACAAGCCATTTTTTGTATGTACGGTGTGTCATTAAACTACCACATGGGGGCCTTGTTTGATAAAGCGAATTTCTTAATTTTCCTGAGCAATATATCCTGGATCACATTCTTTCTCTAGATTACTATTCTGAAGATAATTAATCAATTATAGCCAGTACCAAGTATAATACTACTGTAGAACCACATGATTTTTCACACTGCTTTCTGAACTTCTTTTGGCATGTTACAATTCTTTATTTTATTTATCCGAGTATGTGCACAAAGCGTATTCAGAGCTGTGAAAAGACTCACAGTAAAAATAATGAAAACTAAATGCCAAATTTAACCTAAAAGAATCCTGTAGAACTGAATGGGCAAAGCATATTCATTCACTATTTTCCCAACCTCCTATTTCTCCTCATCAGAAAAGACAACCTTACAAGTATAACATATAAAATGTCCTCAAATCTAAAATGCTATAAGCCAGAGATATTACCAAACCATTGTTTATTTTAATCTCAAAGAAGTAGACTTTCTAAGTACACCCAAACCCAGCAGCCATTCAGAAAAGATTGATAAAAGTGAAGACACAAACTTTTTTAAAAACCCACAAAGCAAGTTTCTCCATAAACAAAAGCTAAAGTAAAATGACAGCCTAGAAAACATACTTGAAACTCATATCATGGACAAAAAGCTAATTGCCTTTATGTACACAGATCAATAAGTACTGTTTCAATAGAACAGTGAAGGTGGAAGTCAAATAGGAGCCAGTAAAAGCATCAGTGACCAGTAAAAATAATATAACTCTTAAAAAGTTGTGAACAGAGTCGGGGGATCCCTATTGTATTATTTTTTATGGAAGTGACTTGAGTACATTGTAAAGCTGGTGGAATGAAACCACTGAGAGGGAAAGGTTAGAAAAGCAAGAGAGAGAGAGAGAGAGAGAGAGAGAGAGAGAGAGATAGAAAAGCAAGAGAGAGAGAGAGAGAGAGAGAGAGAGAGAGAGAGAGAGAGAGAGAGAGAAAATTGATCAAAAGTGAGAATGCAGAAGGTACCAATTCTCACTTGTAATTAGGGAGAACTGGTGGGAGTATGGGTGCAGATGTAGTTTTGATTTTTTATTATTAGAAAGTTGGGAAGTTCCCATCTGATAGCTTCTGCTTTATCTAGAAATTAAAAGACAATGTCACCAGCTGAAAGTTTTAGTCCCTCTTAGTACAATAAGTTGACTAATAAAATTTAGAACTCCTGGTCAATATTTGAGGACTCATCGAAGATTGGTAATGATGAATTTACGAGGCACGTCCACTTGATTGTGTGACTTTCTTTGACATTATTAGTGTCTTAGCCCAGGCTGCCATAAAAAAATAATCATAGTCTAGGTGGCTTAAACTACAGAGATTTATTTTTTTTCACAGTTCTACCGGCTTGGAAGTCCAAGATCAAGGTACCAGATGATTTGGTTCCTGGTGAGGACTCTCTTTCTGGCTTGTAAGTGGCCACCATTTCCCTATGTGCTCCCATGACCTCTTCTTTGTGTGCAGAGGGTAAAGTAGGGACTGAGAGAGAAAGAACAAACTTTCTGGCATCTCTTAAAAGGTCACTAATCCCATCTTTAGGGACTATTCTCAACATGTCATCTAACCCTAATTACCTCCCAAGGGTTCCATATCCAAATGACTTTACATTGAGGGTTGAAACCTCAATGTTTAAATTTGGGAAGACACAGCATTTGGCACAGAAAAGTTAGACTGCTGGCATGCAGGTAATCAGGAAGATGTTGATTTCATGCAGGACTGAAATGTTACAGAGGATTAAAAGAAAAGTCATAAATACAAGGAAGTTTGGAATATTAACAAGAGTGTGATTTGAATGCAATTTAAGTTGGATATGGAGGAAAAGAAGAAGTGACAGGTTGAGGTAGAGAAGAGAGGGTCCAACGACTGGATGATCTGTTGAGTTCCAAGAATAATCATAATGGATATAGTAAACAAGCAAACAGGGAGACTAGATTAGAGGTTGTGGTCAGGTAGTGGCATACGTGAATGAGCAGTTTTGGAATTAGAGCAGTTATGGGTGATGACAAAAATCCAAGGATTGTAATCATGGTAATGTGTGGCAGTGGAGGGCTGTGTCTGGTGATGAGAGGAAGTGAAAAAAAAATTCAGAAGTCAGAGTGTTGAATGGACATTTATGTTGTTATGAAGTCGCCCATAATTATGGCAGGATTTGGAATACACAACAGCTGCTGTGTTATCTTCAATAATTTAGGGAGAGTAAGTGGAAGATTAGTAAATGCCAATACTGTCAAGTAATATAAACCTCAAGGACTCAGAGCA